AACATGAGAGAGGGAGGGGGAGAGAGGGAGAGGGAGAGGGAGCGAGAGAGAGAGACATGGATACAGAATCTAAAGCAGGGTCCAGGCTCCTAGCTATGTGCACAGAGTCCAACAAGGGGCTCGAACACACAAACTGTGACATCATGGTTCATGACCTGAACCAAACTTGGACACTTAACTAACTGAGCCACCCAGTCACCCCTTCCCACTATTCAACTAAAGTAGCTTTTATCAACATCAATAAGGACTTATATCTTGCCCAACTCAACAATTAATTTGCTTTCTCTTATTATACCACTTACTAGCATTTGATATACAGTTGACTCAAGCAATATGGGTTTGAACTGTGCTTGTCTGCTTACATGCAGATTTTTTCACAATATAGTACTTCTATTTTCCCTTATACATAACATACATAGCATTTTCTCTAGCTTATTTTAATACAGTATATAACATATATAGCATATTAAATATGAATTAATCAACTACTTATGTTATTGGTAAGGCTTCCAGTCAACAACAGGCTACCAGTAATTAGGTTTTGGAGGAGTTAAAAGTTACATGGGATTTTTAACTGTACTGGAGGTCAGTTCCACTAACCCTAACAAAATAGTCCAGGAATAAACTCTCTATTCTGTTCCATTGACTGTCTTTCCTTACCCCAATACCCTACGGTTTTGATTATTGTAGCTTTATAATAAATCCAGAAATCAGGCACTGTGAATCTTCTAACATTCTTCTTACTCCAAATTGTTTTGGTTATTCTAAATCCTTTGCATTTCTTCTTTTTTTAAAAAAAAAAATTAATGTTTTATTTATTTCTGAGAGAAAGAGAGAGAGATAGCGTGAGCAGGGGAGGGTCAGAGAGAGGGAGATACAGAATCTGAAACGAGCTCCAGGCTCTGAGCTAGCTGTCAGCACAGAGCCTGAGGCAGGGCTTGAACCCATGAACTGTGAGATCATGACCTGAGCTGAAGTTAGATGCTTAACCGACTAAGCCACCCAGGCGCCCTGATCCTTTGCATTTCTATATCAATTTCTGAAAGCAATTATGAATTTCTACAAAAGAAAGAACCATGGGGATTTTGATTGGCATGTCATTGAATTTGTAGATAAATTTGGGAAGAAATCTTAACAGTATTGAGTCCTCCAGTTCACTATCTTGCTATATCTTTATATTTAATTGGGTGTTCTTAAATTTCTCTCAGCAATCTTTTATAATATTCAGCATACAAAATCTTGTTTATATTTGTTAGATTTATCTTTGAGAATGTTCGATGATTTTAAAATGGTATTGCTTTTTAAATTGTAATTTCTAAGTGTTCATTACTTGTCTAGAATAACAATTTATTTTTTGTATATTGACATCGAATGCTTCCACCCTGAACATATTAACTAGTTACAGCAGCTGTTTTTGTATGATCTTAAGGATGTTCTACATAAATGATTATGCCATCTGAGAATGGCAGCAGTTTTGCCTTCTTCTTTCCTATCTATTTCATTCTCATACCTTTTTGGATTGGTTAGTTATCTCCAGTACAATGTTGAATAGAAGTAGAGAAAGTAGACATCATTGCCTATTCTCAGTCTTCTGGAGAAAACATTCATTTTCATGATTTCAATAATAGGTTTGCCATAGTTGCCATTTTTAGGTTTAGGAAATTTTCTTTGATTCCTAGTTTGCCAACTTTTTATCACGAATGGATACTGAATTTTTCAAGTGATTTTTTTTGGAAGATTGAGGTGAGGATGTGGTTCTTCTTTTTACAATCTGTTGATATAACGAACTGCCTTGATTGTGTTTAGAAATATGAAACAACCTTGCTTTCCCAAAATGAATCTGATTTTCTTAGTATAGGTAATCCTTTTTATATATTGCAGGATTTTATTTCGTAAAATTTGTCTCCATGTGAATGATACTGGATTGTAATTTTCTTTGTGAAGTTTTGATATCAGTATAATGTTGGCCACATTAAATGAGTTTTGAAGTATTTCATCTTCTTCAACTTTCTGGAAGAGTTAATAGAGAATCAGTATTAATCCTTTCCTAAATGTTTGGGAGAATTCAACGGTAAAGCCATTGATCCTGGAATGTTCCTTGAAAAAACTATGTATGTGTGGTATGTGATAAAGAGAGAGAAAGGAGTTTTTTCATTTTGTTTTATTTATTTAAGTAATCTCTACAACCAACATAGGGCTTGAACTCACAACCTCAATATAAAGGGTCACATGTTCCTCCTACTGAGTCAGCCAGGCTCCCCAGAGATGGTTTTTTGTTTTTGTTTTTACATTTATTATTTTGAGAGAGAGCAAGCAACACATGAAGGGAGGGACAGAGAGAGGGAGAGAGAATCCTAAGGAGGCTCTGTGCCAATAGTGCAGAACTCCACAAGGAACTGTGAGATCATGACCTGCACGAAATCAAGAGCCAACACTCAAGTGACTGAGTCATTCAGGTGCCCCAGAAGTTTTTTAAAAGTTAAAATTAAAATGATGGATATAGAGCCATTCAGGTTTTCTTTTTCTTCTTTTGTGAGCTTCAGCAGTTGGTGTCTTTCAAAGAATTTGTCCACTTCATCCATAGCTGTTGGCATAAAAAATATGTTAATATCCATATCCTTATAATGTCTGTCAAGTCTGTAGTGATGACAGATCTTTAATTCTCAGTATTAGTAATTTGTATTTTCTCTCTTATTCTTGATCTCTTTGGCTAAAAAGTATATCAATTAAACTGATCTTTTCAAAGAATCACCTTTTGATTGCATTTATTTCCTCTATTTTTCTGTTTCATTCCATTTTTTCCTTCTCTTTATTTCCTTCATTTTGCTTGATTTGGTTTTATTTTGCTGTTTTTTTCTAGTTTCTTTAGAAATTTAAATAATTGAACTTTTTTCTTCTCTAACGTAAGCAGTTAAAATAAAAAAAATTACTATGCTTTCATATCATTTAATTCAAAATATTTTTTCACTCTCTAGTGATTTCTTCTTTGATCCATGGATTAATCATAAATGTTAATGTCCAAATAGTGAGAGATTTATCTCAGATATCTTTCCGTTATTTGTTTCTAGGTTAATTTCATTTTGGTCAGACAATATACTTTGTATCATTTCAATCTTTTAAAGTTGATAACATTTGATTTCTTGCAAAGAATATGGTCTACCTTAGTCAATATTCCATGTGCACTTGTAAAGTGTGTGCTCTGCTATTGTTAGGTTAAATCACCTACAAATCTACCAATTAGGTCAAGCTGGTTGGTAGTACTATTCAAGTCTATATAAGTTTTTTTCTACTTGTTCCACCAATTAGAGAGAGAGAAGTGTTGCAGTCTGCAATTATTGATTTGGGTATTTCACCTATAAGTAATAATATTTTTCTCTTTATATATATTAAAGCTCTGTTACATCTTTAGTATTGTTACGTCTTTTGGATAAAATTTACCCCTTTCTGTCAGATTCACTCTCTATCCTTCTTCAGCCTGGATTCCATCCTAGGAGCCTGAACCTTATAGATTACATGCTTGCCCCCTGTTTTTAGGTTGGCTTTAGCCAATGAAAAACTCCAGTTGGACATTGAAGTGTGGAGGGAAAGTGGTTTGGATGCTTAATCCTTCCAGCTCCTCCCTTCTGGGTTGCAGGTTGATAGTACTATGTTCCTCAGGTAGGTTGCTGTCTCCTACAGCAGTATGTCTCCTTGGGCTCTGGTAATCCCTCTTTTCCCAAATCTCTTCAGTATGCTATTAACTTGTTGGGGATTCCTACTGATATGCATTACAGGACTAGCTTAAATTATTAGAGAACTTCTTTGGTTCTTCTCATTCTACTCACTGGTTCAACCAAGTTGATCACTCATCAGACGCTTGAAAAAGGAAAAAGGAATCTATCTGAATGTTTTGATTAAAGGAAGAAATAATAATGATTATCAGTTGACCCAATTCTCCTAAACACAGTGCCAGGGCCCAATATTCTCATAACTAGGCACGATTTCCTAGGGATTGTGGTAGATGACACTATGTGTCATGTTAGAACTCCACATAGACCATAAAAGACGTGCATTGGTACCCAATAAAGCATCAAGTCTCAGGGCACATTGTCTGAACAAAATGGACATAACACCCATCACAGTATCCCTAGGCTGCAGTCAGAATAGAGGTCATGTTGTGTTTTTCTCCCCACCTCATCCCATTCCTTAGAAAATTTGCATTATTTGGTTTGATAGGCTCTCTGTGTAGGAATTAATCACAGGACAAACTATTCTGGAGTAATGGGGAACCCTCAAAATTATAAGACCTATGAATGAGCAATTCTCATGTTTTTCTCAAATCTGAAGTCAGTGATACGCCTAAAGTGTTATCTCTAATTTATACTGGAAAGTCTTCTAAGTAGATTTTAAAGAATACTTTCAAAAGATAAAAATGCTGCACATGGGCTATACCTTTACAAGAGCGACCAGGTTTAAGCGACTTAAACCTGTCCAGATGTATTGCAAATAAGGAGAGCAACAGTTGTATAGAGAAAGCAAGGACCATCTAACCTATTCAGTGCTTCTCTACGCTGGATTAGCCTTACTTTTGCACAAGTCTTGCCCAGAAACCATTAACAATAGGCATCCTCGATCTCAACAAAGGAGTTGCGGGCACTAGCGCGGCAAGAAGTGATTACCGAGCGGCTCTAGGTGTGAATGAGACACCCGCTTCCGACTCACTTGAGCAATACTCCTTATTGGGTCCTGCCCGAAGAAAACTCAGCTGTCTCTAGGCCCTGCTCACCTAGCCTCCGTACCGGTTTCGTTGCCCCATGAGGCCCCACCTTCCAGCCAAAGGAACGCTTGAAGCTACACGCACGCACTCATTAAAAAAAGCAAAAGCACCTCGCCGTTTTGAGTCCTAGGCAGACTGATTCTCGCGAGAACTCGAGGAGCGCCGGCGGGTCCGGCGGAGACGTCACGAGCGGACCTCCGGCGCGGAGTGCGCCGCGGCCCCGCCCTTCCTGAGCGCGGGCCCGCGGTGGCGGGAATTTCGCCTGCGTCTGATTTAGACCTCACCGACGCCGGGATTGTAGTCCCGGCAGCTGGGGGCGGATCTCCGGCACCTATAGTGTGTGCAGGTAAGCCGCGAACCAAACGAGGGACGGCCGGGTGCTCAGGGCACCGGCTTCCGTCGGTCTGTGTCCGGCCTGCGCTGGCGGGACTTGCCTCCCCGCGGGGAGGACTAAAGCTAGGCGCCTGGCGGTCCTGATCCTCTCCGGAGAGTGCAAGGGGGCTTTTCCACGGCTCTGGGGAAACTGGCTCAGCGCGGTTTGGTAGTGTAGCGGGCTGCGCCGGTCCAGGCGGAGTCGGGAGTTTAAGCTGGATCTGTCCTGCAGACCTTTCTTTTCTCTCTGTTTCGGCTGCAGAGTCCGACCCAGAGGACAGATACGAAGTTCCTGCCTCAGCCAGTCGGGGGAGCGTTCTAAGTTCTGACAGCCTTTATATCGGGGTGTCGGTGTGGGGAGAGTTGTGGAGGAATTGGCTTCTCGGGTTTTGTTTTGTTTTTTTTTCTATGGGCGTGGGGGGACGTTTTGAGAATTTTAGGAGGTCACCATCAGTCTCTTGGCCCCACCTCCTGGAATCTCATCACCATTTCTTTGGAGTCCTGAATGATAATTATGAATCCCAAACATTTCAGGACAGGAAGTAAATAATGGATAACTATTCCGCCTCGCCGACGTTCCTGACCGACAGCTTGGAACTGGAGCTGGGGACAGAATGGTGCAAACCTCCTTGTTTTTCCTGTGGTTTTGACAACCGAGGAGGAGGAAATCATTTTTCTGTGGAGTCCTACCTTTCTAGCGGAGCCATTAAGCGGTGGGTAAAAAATCTGAGACTTGATCTTTCCCTTATCAGATTTCTCGGCAGTGTGTGAGGAATGTTCCTTGATTATGATTTCAGTCTGTTAAACTTAGATGTTCAGGCCATGTTTTTATAAATCGGTTTAGTATATCACATGGGTTCAGGCTGTCAGTTCTGTTGTCGGTTTCCTGGTCGGAGCATACCAAAAAGATTTTGGGATATTGAGAAGTTCTTGCTACCTATGTTTTCTTCACTGCTACCTCAACTTTTGGGTAGGAAGCTGGCTACTAATTTCCTTTTTAAAGTGAATTCTGAACTAGTGGGCTTTTTAAATGGTATAACCCTCTAAAACATGAAGTAATATCATGGAGCTTCACAGTAATTCTTAAATTAGGCATGCACATTTTTTGTTGTTGTTGCCCCAGTTCTTTCTAATTCTGTGTATCTATGCACAGAAGTCTTAGAGATTTATTTTTGTTTTAACTTTTAAATAAATATGCCAGATTGTGTAAGTTCACAGGAATGTTCTTCAAAGTTCTTGCCTTGGGCAAATGTACACAAATTGCAGTACAACTGCAGTTACTGAAATATTTTGGGAGTACCTACTGAAGCAATTTCAGTCAGAAAGGAAACCATTTTTGTTGATTTTATAGTTGTTCCTTGTCTGAGACTTTAAAAGAGATTACTCAGTTTGATTATGCTCCACACATGGCTCAGAGTAACTTTTAGCTGTTTTAAAAATACAATGTCCCCTCAGAGAATGAAATTCTTCACTTAAGATCATAGGCAAAAGTATCTTCCTTAGATTTCTTTTTGATATTTTTCCCTAAGTTACATTGTGCTTTGTGCTTTTTTTTTAAATCACTATATTTGACTGAATTTTTCATACAGCCTAAATGTAGTATTCCTGAATATGTAAGGTATCGAGGCATATCATGACTTTATGACATTACTGTCAACATTTCGTGGTCAAAATGGATTTATATACTGACAAAAACATCGTGCTATAGTATGGGATTTAGCGTACTTTTTATGAGATTAAATCAGTTTTCCTTTCAGATTAATTTTGAATCTTGATCCTTTACCAACTAATTTCGAGGAAGATACAGTGGAAATATTTGGCATTCAGTGGGTTACTGAAACAGCATTAGTGAATTCATCTAGAGTGCTCTTCCATTTATTCAGGTATGTTTTGTTTTGTTTTTTATTCAGGTATGCCTCTGAGTGTAGCTGCTATTCAGTTTTGTAAGTTTCTTTGCTGGATGATTGCAAATATCCCTATTACAAAAGCACCTGTAGAATTGTTCTGTTGCTCTTGATTATCTTATCAGTACAACAGTCAAGTAGTAATGTTTGATGGAGCGGTGATTTTAATGAGTTTTGGGGTGTTTTTTGTTGTGTTTTAGTGAGTCTTCATTCTTTCTCAGACTTTTTATTCTTCTATATTTGACATTGAGTTTTTAAGACAAATATTTAAGTCTTTGAACTATATTATATTTTGGAAGCAAACTGAAATATTACTTTTGCTGAATTGTCATAATCTTTCATAAAATTTCAAAATTTCATAAATCTTGTGTTTTAGAGAATGAACTCCGACTTTGTCTTTCAGACTGTATGATAGTAATGTAGTTAATTAATATGATTAATTTGGACATTAAAAATTTTAATGAAATTTTCAAAGTACACAAATGTAGAAGTGCTACTATAATAAACCTTCACATATCCTCCTTCAGTGGCAGTAAACATCAAGATTTTAATTGCATTTCCTGCATCTATTCCTTTCCCTCTTTTTTTGGTTTAAGTATATTTAGCAGATGCCAGGCATTATATTATCTCACTCTTAAATATTTCAATAAGCATTTTTTGGGGCACCGGGGTGGCTTAGTCTGTTAAGTGTTCGGCTCAGGTCATGATCCGGTAGTTTGTGAGTTTGAGCCCTGCATTCAGCGCTCCACTGACTGCTCAGAGCCTGCTTGCAATTCTCTCTCACTCCTCTCTCTGTCCCTCCCCTGTTGGCACACATGCTCTCTCTCAAAATAAATAAATAAACATTAAAAAAAAAAAATGAAGAATGACAGGAGATTAGTTTCAGGAATTAAGCAGAGACATCATAAATACAGCTTTCCTTGATAACTCCAGTATAAGTTATTCTGTTCCTTTTCTAAACTCCTATTGTAGAAATGTCTGATACAATTTAACGTTTCATTATATAACTGTTAACCTAGGATTTTTATATAAGTATCATTAACTTTTGAGTATATACAGTATCTCATTGATAGTAAAACCTGTGGTATTTATAATTATATATACATACATGTAGCTTTTAATAGATATTTTTTGGAAGGCCAGACAAGGGCATGTTCTTTCTTTTCATAGTATTCACTATCTGAATAAACATTCACAAAGTGTTTTAAACATCATAAATGAGAGGCTATGCAGTACTAAAGCTGTGTAATAGGTTTGGAAACATTATCTCTGTAACTGTTACATGTTTTAAACTGTGATGAAATTAACTCTCACCTTAAATTTTTTAAATTAGGCAACGGCTATACAACTTGGAAACCTTATTACAGGCCAGCTGTGATTTTGGTAAGTTTTAAATATTTAATGGGAAAAAGGAATGGTATTCCTATTACAGTGAATTGTACATCTGTGGGATGCATTATTGGGATATTTTAATAATATGGAGGAAGGACCATTAGGTTAGGGATTTAGAATAGTGTTTAGTGTTCAGAAAAACTGTAACACTTAAATTTTGTTGTAGCTGAGATTTATAGTATTTTTTCCATATCTGTGATAAAATTGATTTAAGAGTAAACATTTCTGAAGTGAATTAGCAAATTGCTTTGAGGGTGGGGAGTGGGATGGAGAACTTATAAAAGAAATCTCCAGACTTCATGGTGTTGTCTTTTTTCTGTTTGTTTGTTTTTGATATTTAACGGATTACTGATTTGGAGCATTCAGTATAGTGAAGGGAGTGAAGATAATTGAAGGACAGTATATTTTAGTGCAGGCTAACTACTTCTTTTTGTCAATTTTGGTATAGTATAGTCATTAGAATTGTGGCACTGTGGTCTGCCTGGGTTCCAACCCTAGTTAACTCTTGGTCTCACACCGTATACTCGTTGCCACCTCATTGAGTTTTCTGAGGATTAAATGATATAATGCATACGAAGGGCTTAGGCTAACATCTGTTGATGCCCACCAATTAAAGATCACCTGGAACACACCTTTGGTCAATGAAAAGTTGAGTAGGTTACTGAAACAAGAAGGAAGTACACATGAGGAACAGTTGTGGCTTTTCGGAGAGAGTATGGAGGGCTCTCTCTTGGCTGATTTGGAGTTGAATTTAAGGGGACTTGGACTTTATTTTGGATTGGCTGCTGTTAAGAACGTGGACAGTGTCTTGAATTAAATATGTTAATTTTTGTCAAGGATGTGGGACACAGAAAGGCTAGAGAGGGTTCTAATTAGTAAAGAAGCAATAGTCATGTTATCTGCAAGAGGAGAATAGTTTGTATTTTCTTTTTTCTGTGATTGCATCGTGCCTTGTTTCTGTATCTAGACATGATTACAAACAGGTTTTGTTTTTGTCTTGTTTCATCATAATCACAGAGTAGCCTTGTCTGATTATTGTAGATATTTTATGAAAACTTTAATTTTAGTAGGGAACATCATTGACCTGTCAGGGCTGTTTTGTTTTGTTTTCTCAGTATGTGCTCAGTAAATGTTGAGTATTTTTTATCACCCGAGTCCCTGCTTCATGCCAGGTACTATGTCAGGTGATGATGAATCAAAGTGGAAAAATATGCTGCTGAGGAGTCTGCAGCTGGTAGGATATACAGACACACAAGCGTAGATCAATTTGGTAAATGGAAAAGTGTAGTAACAGTGGCCTGTATAAGCTGCTGTGGAGCCAGGGGCTTCATCTGTTAATATGCGTAACACAGAGTGATGCCAGGTCTGGGTCTACAAAGATGAGGGAGAAAATAGGTAGGTGAAAGTTTTGGGGACAGAAAGTTCCAGGTAGAGACAACTGTATAGACAAAAATCACTGAGGTAAGTTAAATCCAGGGAGCAGGAAGTAGTAATTATTTTGGGGGAGGATCAGAATGTATGATAGTGATGAATTCTAAAGGGATGAAATTGCAAATGATGAATTACTGCTTGCATGGCTTACAAAAATTTTTTTTCGTCACTGTCCACTGATCGATTATATAAACTATGATAACGCTTATCTATTTTGGTTTCAGGGAAGATATCAATCCTACACAGCAAAGCAGACAATATTAGACAGCAGTGCGTGACATTTCTTCATTATGTTAAAGTTTTCATCTTTAGGTAGGACATCAAAAGAGTATTTTGATCACTGCATGATTTTCTGAGTGCGCATTTATCCAGACTTGTTGTTTATTGTATGTAATTGTTTTTTAGGTACCTGAAAGTACAGAATGCTGAGAGTCATGATCCTGTCTATCCCTATGAGACTTTGGAGGCACAACTTCCCTCTGTGTTGGTGGATGAACTTCATGGATTACTCTTATATGTTGGACATCTATCTGAACTTCCCAGTATTAATCCAGGAGCATTTGTAAATCAAAACCAGATTAAGGTTTGACATGTTTCATTTAATTTTTAAATCATCAGATTTTCCTTCACACAAAGAATATTCATTCAAGAAAGGGAAACTAGTCAAGAGTGCAACCCAGGAACCAGACTCCCTGAGTTGAAATTCTGGCTCCTCTTTTAATTATGTGCCATTGGGCAAGTAACACCTCTTGACTCGATCTTCCCATTGTATAACTGATAAAGCTTCCTAGAGTTAATTTAGGACCATTAAATAAATTAAAATTAAATAAAGTGCTTAGGATATAATATGCACTGAATCAGTGATAGTTGTTTTCTTTTTTTTTTTAAATGTTATTTATTTTTGAGAGAGAGAGAGACAGTGTGAACAGGGGAGGGTCAGAGAGAGAGGAAGACACAGAATCCAAAACAGGCTCCAGGCTCTGGGCTAGCTGTGAGCACAGAGCCTGATGCAGGACTCGAACCCATGAACCGTGAGATCATGACTTGAGCCGAAGTTGAATGCTTAACCGACTGAGCCACCCAGGTGCCCCATTGATAGCTGTTTTCAATTCCAGTTTATAACATGCAAATGTGTAAAAGTTTCAAACCAAATAACCTCTATTTTTAAAATTTTTTTACCATTTTTCCCATTGATAAAGACTTGGGGAAACCCTAGTTTATATTATAGTAAGATTCAGGATCACCTTATGCAAGTTACACTTTCAAAACCACATCATTATGTCTGTTCTTACCTTTGGAACCTTTCTGAAAAATGATTAAGATTGATTTGACTGTGCCCTTTTCTTCTACCTGTGGTACTCATCCTACTGAAGTTTGGAGTTTTGTGTGTTGTTTTTTGGGTTTTTTTTTAAGTTTATTTATTTTGAGAGAGTGCACAGGCATGCTCACCACCCGTGAACATGATGGGGCAGAAGAGACAGAATCTTAGAAGGCTCTTAGCCATCAGTGCAGATCCTGACTCGGGCTGGATCCTAACACAGTGAGATCATGACCTGAGCTGAACTCAACGGACTGAGCCACCCAGGGGCGCCTGAAGTTTGGTTTTTAATTTTTTTTTTTTTTACATTTATTTATTTTTGAGAGACAGAGTAAGAGAGCATGAGTGGGTGAGGGGCAGAGAGAGAAGGAGACACAGAATCCGAAGTAGGCTCCAGGCTCCAAGCAAGCGTTCAGCACAGAGTCTGACATGGGGCTCGAACTAACGAACTGTGAGATCATGACCTGAGACAAAGTCAGACGCTTAACTGACTGAACCACCTTGGTGCCCCTAAAATTGGTTTTTAAAAATTTGTGCTGATAGCATGACCCAGTTTATAGATGTAATTAACAAGTTCTTCATAGGAAAATGTGAGCTTATGTGAATGGAAAATTGTAATTCCCCATCGATTCCCTGAACTCTCAACTTCTTTCATTCTGACACTTAACAGTTTGAATAACATTTTTAGGAATTTGACTTTGCCAGAATGTAATGTACAAATAAATGTTTATATATTTCTTTGAAATATAACAACAAAAAAATGCACTCTTCTTATCAGGGACCAATATATGTAATATTAAAGTAAATAGAGTCCCTGCTGAATTCCCAGGTTAGTATGTCTAAATCTGTAGAAAGCAAATAGGAAATTGCTTTTAATCATGTCACTTAATAAAAATTCATGGGTAGATTATGGAAGGAGGGATATTTTTCCTTCATTTTGGTCTATATAAATTGGACTGGTTTTTATATTCTGAATATTCATCAAGTGCTCAAGAAAATAAAAATAATTTATCTAGCAGCAGAAATAAAGACTGTAAAGGTTCTGAAACTAGGTTTTGCCTTTCATAGGCTTTTTAATTAGGCAAACATGAAAAGAAAGGTTATTTGAAGATCAGAAGACTGAATTTTTAAAGCAAGGTAATGTAGTCTTCAACATGTAAACAAAAGTATCAGTCACTAAAATACTGTTATTTTCTGAAGTAACAGCAAAAATATATTAATAAAATATCTTCCAAGCTGTATTTTTGCATTTTACCTATCTTATACGTGAGAAATGTTGATTTAATTGCTATTTTCAATTAAGCATCTTTTATTATTTTCTGGGAACTTTTTATTAGAGATACTTTTTTATTAGAGATATGGGTATTACGTATTGTAGGTATTTTCATCAGTTTTCTTAACAATTAAGCTGCCTTGCTAGGTAGATGGTTTAAGTTTTGTATATAGTTATCTCTGTCTGGTTTTTCTTGTGTATCATCTCTATACTATTAAAAACATACTTTTTTAACATTTATCTTTTTAATTCATCTCCCTTTTTAAAAATATGCTGTCAGGTGAGAAATCTAACTTTAGTTTCTTACAAATAAGTTAATAAACAGACTTTTATTGAATGGCCCATGCTCTCCCCACTGATTTAAGAGACCAGGTTTATCTGTTTCTCTTTTGCCTATTTTTTCTGTTTGTTTATTTTTGTTTATTATCTATTCCTGAGCCAATACTGTTTTATTAGTATAGCATTTTATTTTGTTTGCATAGTTGATAAGTCCTTGTCTGTAATTCTTCCTTGTTCTCTTTTTTCTTAAAGATTTTTTTTTTAAAAGTAATCCCTACACCCAATATGGGGCTCGAACTGACAACCCTGAGATCAAAAGTCTCAAGTTCTACCAACTGAGCCAGCCAGGTGCTCCTTCATTGTTCTTTTAATAGAACATGTATATTGTATTTATTTTTAAGATAATACCAAGTGTTGGCTGGTGGGAGGTTATTGAAAACCCTGCTACAGCATAGTAGTTAAGGCCACTGGCTTTTGAATCACAATAAGATTTGAATCTTAATGCATGAGATGAAAGGTAAATTTCTTCACTGCTTTTAACTTCAGTTTCTTAATGGGCATCTCAGTAGGCTCTGCATGATAGTCTAAAGTTCTCCTGTTAAAATCTTTTATAGGAAAGTCTAAAACAAGTTTATGAAAATAAGTGGTTAAAAAATTATTTTACTGCCTTGCAGCTATAGTAAAATCAGAGACTGATTGGAAGGGACCTTTAATATAAGTCTTTTGAGCAGCCCCAAGGTGAGTCTGTCCTAAACCGTCAGATGAAAATAGGCTTTCAAAGATCTCCAGTGAAAGAATCCTCCAAAGAACAAGACAAAGTTTTTCCCTGAGCTTTTGAGTAGTGGGTAGGTTAATTGGTTCTTTCTCCTTATGCTTATAGAAGAGTGTTGTGACATGGTATAAAATACCTAGTAATGTGCTATGAATTCTCAGTCACAGATGATCATGTCATTCACAGCTTTATCCACCATCATGGCATTTATTACATCTTCACTTAGATATCCATTGGCTGGTGCTAGAAATTCTTCACATGCTTGGTGAAAAATTGAGTAAGTTTATGAATTTCTAATTTACGTTCTTTTTTTATCTCAACTTTTATTTTTTTAAATTACAGGTGATTTTTTTTTTTCGTTTTAGTTAACATACAATGTGATACTGGTTTCAGGAGTTGAAATTACAGATAATAAGTGCTTTCTTGGTTTTTAAAGTTTTTACGTACTTACTGTCTGTTGGTATACGTATATAGAAATTCATGGGTAGAATTTTTGTCTTTGTTTAACCACCATTAGTATTGTCATAATGTTCTGTGTAATGTTTTATTTAACAGTTTTTAGAGATCTATTCATATTAGAATATACAATTCTACTTTATTCCTTCAAGGGCTGTATGTTATGTCTCTATCATAATTTATTTAGCCAAGTCTGTTTAATATTTCAGTTATTTCCATTTTTTGATACTATAATATTTCACAGAACATCCTTGTGTATATATGTGTGTGTATATATATATGTATATATATATATACACACACATACATCTTTGAACATGTGTACAAGTTATTCTGAAGAACATATTCTTAGAATTAGAGTGATACATTCAGCTTTTTTTTTTTGTTTATTTACTTTTTTTTTTTTTTTTTGGGTGGGGGGAGGTGCAGAGAGAGATTCCCAAGCAGGCTGTGCTCAGTCAGCACAGAGCCCAGTGTAGGGCTGGATCCCATGAACTGTGAGATCATAACCTGAGCCACAAATCAAGAGTCAGTCACTTAACTGAGTAAGGCACCCAGGCACCCTCACCTTCAGCTTTAATACTGAAAATGCTGCTCAGTTTCCGTATAGTTTCCTCAGTTTATTTACACTACTGATGAGCATGCAGTTGCCTCACACTTTTGTCAGTAGTGGATTTTATCAGTTTTTATTTTTTGCCAACTAATACATGAAAAATGATATTGAATCTGCTTTGTAATTTTCTGACTACAAGTGAAGTTGAACATCTTTACCTGATTTTATTGTTTTTTATATTTTCTTTATTCATTACTTTTCACTGATGTTTCTTTTTAAAAAAATTAGTAGGAGCTTACATATATTATGGATAATACTTTTTTATTTCATATATTGCCTGTTTATTTCTCGTTCTTGTTCTCTGCCATCTTTTGATTCCATCATCAACTTGGCAGTATTCTGTAAATATTATTTATTTGTAAATTGTCAATTACTTAGGTTATGAAGACATCCATTATCTCAATACCTGCATTTCAATGAACTAATAAATACGTATGTATATACATGTATGTGTACATTTACATATATACACACACAAACATACAAAGATGTATACAAATACCTAATTTATTCTCTCATGTGGACTTTGTATTTCAAACAATATTTCCTTAGAGCAGTACTCTAAGGTATACTTATCTGTTGCCTTGGTTTTCTCTAGTCACACCACAAAACAATTGTATGTGATTAGTTTATCAGCATTTGTTAAAATATTTGAAAGTCTTTATTGGTTAGAAATATTGGTAAAGATTTTCTAGGTGCTTCCCTCTTTTTTTTTCCTTAAGTGATGTTGCATTGTTGCTTTTTGAAGATTGCCACATTAAGAAAAGAGAAGTTTGTCAAGTGGTAGTTGAGAGAAGTGAAAACTTTTCTTAAGTAATGTTTATCAGTGATCATATAAGATGGGACTTGTCCTCAAATTTAACTTTTATTTCTAAAGGAATTTGCTTTTAACACTGTGTGTTACAGTTTTGTTGTCAGTTTAAAGGTCTACAGTTTTCTTTCCTCCTTCTGAATTAATAAAATCTACTGTGGTTCTAAATAGAATATATTTTGTTACATTTTTAGAACAGGTTATATATGGTCATCAGTTTATGAATCTGGCAGGTGACAATTTAACTAATGTCAGCCTATTTGAAGAACATTGTGAAAATCTCCTTTGTGATTTAATAAGCCTGTCACTCAGCAGGTATGACAAGGTAATGTTTTTTAAAAGTTTATTTGTATTTTTGATACTTAATGGCAGTACTCCTTAATGTGTGTAGTTTATAAGAATTTAAACCGAAATTGTTTACTTGTTCTCCTAATTTTATATTTATTACTATTAGGGAGTTGACTGGGAAAAGAATTTCAGTTAAACATTTAGTACAGTCTGAAATTAATGTTTCAAAGGGAGTTTTTTAAAAAAATAATCTTTTCCATCTTGCCAAAATTAAATAAAAACAAAATGTTTATGACAATAACTGGACATTTAATTTCTGTTCCAGTAGGAGATTCCAGCCCCTTAATAATACATGTATTGTTACATAATACAGTAAATGAGTACTTAACTAAAATTAGTGGACAGTTGTAAAGGGAAATTGTTTTCAAAAATGGTCTAGAATCATGGGGGAAATCACAGGTTTTTACTAAATTGTATTTAATAGAATGTTTTATGCAGACTGATTTAAAGGTGTTATGTACCTACTCATTTTCTAGCAATGGAAATTTGTAGATCATTATCGGTTATTTCAGATTGTTAGCATAAATCTTATAGGAAATTGGATTTATACTTTTTTTTTTCTTTTTTTCTATGTTTGTTTATTTTTGAGAGAGAAAGAGAGAGAGAGTACCAGCAGGGGAGAGTCAGAGAGAGGGGTAGACAGAATCCGAAGCAGGCTCCAGGCTCTGAGCTGTCAGCACAGAGCCCGAGGTGGGGCCCAAACCCATGAACCGTGAGATCATGACCTGAGCCGAAGTCAGAAGCCCAACTGACTGAGCCACCCAGATGCCCCAGATTTATATTATTTAAAACTTAGATTATGTTCTGTGTATTATCAAAGTCTTTCAATTCTAGTGTACATAATTTTACAACTAATTAGTGGATTAACCAGATATGGTTTAGTAATGTTTTATTAGTTTGTATTACATTAGAAACATGAATATAGTATATGTGAAGTAGTGATTATATAATCAATTTCTGAAGTTTAGCTATACTTGCAAATACAGTGCGTATACTCTGCATTATGTAGGGCCATTGAGGATATATTTGTTAAAAAAAATGTATAACCTAAAATTGCTTAACCTTTATAAGTCCCCAATAATTGTATTAATATTCTGACTTGTAAAAATTTTTGTCTGCCTTACAATGGATTAAAATTTGTTTTCTAATCATTTTACTAGAAGTTTTTCTGTTGTGGCTGATGAATTAGATCAAGGTTTGGAAATCAATGCCCTGAGGCCCTGTCTAGCTCACTGTCTGGTTTTATAAATAAAATTTTACTGAACTTGGCCAACTTTTTTTTAAGGCTGTTGTTTATGGCTGATGTTGCATAATAATGACAGAGTTGAGTATTTGTGACAAGGACTATATCGCCCTGAAATATTTACTATCTAGCCCTTTACGTAAAAAGTGTAGTGAACATCAGTGATTCCAGCAGAAGTTTTTTAGAAGTTGAAAATAAAGTTCATTCTATACTTTTGGTTTTAGAATGGGAATTTAATTTAAAAATTAATGGAATGGCACATTTTTTGTAAACAATTTATGTAATTGAACATCAATATTAAGTCATCTAAATCATTGTTTTAAAACATTTGGAGAGATATGTAACATAAAAAATTCTGTCTTATAGAACTCATTTTGGTTCTTCTCTATAGATCAGGCCTTCTGAAGCATTAATGAGTCACCACTGCCCGTGTTCATGCATTAAAGAATTATGGGTTCTACTCATTCATCTTCTAGAACACAGAAGTAAATGGTCTCTTTCAGAAGTAAGTTGTAAAATTGATGTGTTATTTATTGTTCCTAACTCTTAAATTGAATTTATGCAGTGGTTGTAGCCAAGAAAAATGTTACACAGTCCCTTATTTATAGTAAGACAACCACTACTAAACAGATCATTAATTGAGTACTAACTTCCTACTATATATATATAATTTATACAATGCCCTCATTGTTTATATTTATTTTTAATTTTTTTTTGTTGTTGTTGCTTATTTTGAGAGAGAGCATGAGAGTACAAGCAGGGGAGGGGTAGAGAGAGAGGGAGAGAGAGAGAATCTCAAGAAGGTTCCAAGCTGTCATCGTGGAGCCCAGTGTGGGGCTCAGAGTCACTAACCGTGAGATCATGACCTGAGCTGAAACCAAGAGTTGGACACTTAACCTACTGAGTTACCTAGGTGCCTTCTCATTTTGTTTTCGAAAGAAGAAATCATGCGTGGGTGCACATGCATATACATACTAACATTTTTCCAGAAACTATTTTATTTCTTCTCCCAACCCCCTGGTTTCCCCCTGGAAATCCCTGGAATGCTGTAGGTGAAGATTGAATGGGACTTGGAGTTTTCTTGCTGAGTAAGAGACATTTTCTGCTACCTGGTCTGTGTTTAAAGGACTAATGTCCTTAGGAAATTATCTAAAGAGGAGAGGCAGTTCTGGGTATTTAAGTTACTTTCCAATGTTGCCTGGGCTCCTGCTGACCTTTGTAAAGCCAACAGGAAGATGCTTCCCAGGGGGACAGGGTGAAAAGCAATTAGAGAACCCTCGTGGAGGCTCAGGAATGTTTGGAAGTTCACATACACCCCAGATTATGTGGGAATTCCAAAATGGAAATAATTTGATCAGGGACATAATTGTGTTTTGGGAAATATTCTAAACATGTAGCTTTCCTGGATCTATCTGTATGACTGTTTTCCTAAAAACCCAACACTCATTATGTAGTAAACGTCAATTAGATTTCAGTTTCACAGAAGAAAAGCTAATTAATATTCCTTGAGTGATATTTCTTTGTGCCAGAAAGTAGAATGGGTGTGAGGTTAAGTAAGCAGTTCAAATAACAGTCAGAATATGACAAACTGGGCTTCAAATTGCAGATTTATTTGGTGCTAAAGCCCATGTTTTTTTCCCCTACCACATGATTATGTAAGAAAGTGCATATTTAAGAAAGAAAAAGAATCGCTGAATTAATTCACTCCTTTTTGGGGAAACCTAAGTATATTTTATGTGCATTCCCTAGGTTGCCACAAATGAGACAGGGGACACTGGTGCTGTACCATGTGCAATATAATAGAGTTTCTGGCCAGTACAAATTAGATTTTAGCTGACACATATATGCATAAATTTACATGTGTTGTCACCTTTAAGTGTCACGCAAAGTTTGTTAAAGAATTTTCTGTGAAATAAAAACATCAAAAGCAAAAACATCCCAAACCCCACAAAGATTCAAAATATATGGGCCAAGGATTTTATAACTTTCACCCTGGCAATCCCACTTCTAGGAATTCATTTTTGGCATGTACCTTTGCAATTCAGAAAAAATGATTATGCATTAGGCTCTTTATTGCATTGTTTATAAAAGCATAATACTAGAAACTACCTAAATGCCCATACACAGGAGACTAGTTGAACAAACCATGGTATATTAGCACATTAGAATACTATAGTTCAGTAGACTGAATAAAATATCTGAAGGGCTTGATTTCCAGGATTTATTGTTTTTTTAAGATTTTTTTTAATGTTTTATTTATTTCTGAGAGAGAGAGAGAGAGAGAGCATGAGCAGGGAAGGGTCAGAGAGAGAGGGAGATACAGAACCTGAAACAGGCTCCAGGCTCTGAGCTAGCTGTCAGCACAGAGCCCGACTTGGGGCTCGAACCCATGAACCGTGATATCATGACCTGAGCTGAAGGTGGATGCTTAACCGACTGAGCCACCCAGGCACCCCTAGGATTTGTTGTTAAATAAACAAAGTGCAGAAGAATATTTATAAAATACTACCTTCTGTGTATGAAGGTGGGGAAAATAGAAAATGCACATGATAAATACTGGAAAGACAAATCAGGACTATGAAATTGGTGGGTAGGAATGGGAGAGTGGTGAGGGACAATGCAGTGGAAGGGTTTGAATATGTTGTTATGATTTTAGAACTACGTTAATCTTTAACATGCTCCAGAAATAAATCAAGGTGCATGAAAGACAGATTCACTGGAACATAAAGAGAAACACTTGAATTGTACTGTAAGTGAATAACACATGGGAGAAGTGATTGGGGCGGTGGGAGAGAACTGACCTAGACGACTTGGAATGCACTATTTTGACAATGTGCTCTAAGGCTAACGACAAAAGGATTGTAATGAACTGCAAATACTGGACTCTTATTTGGAGATTTGTCTTACAGTGTTATTTATGGGTTAGCAATTTTAAATCTTCGTTTGGGTTCTAGGACTGAGCAAATTAATAAATATATTATGGGCAATTAAGAGCCAACTTTGTCACTGTTGGGAAATCGAGTTACAGATATGGAAACAGAGAAAGGTAGAGTGAAAGATAATGTATTAGAAAAGAATTTGAGATATCAATGTGAAATAATGGTTTTCAATCATCAGAATTAGAAGTGTGTGTGTGTGCGCGCGCGCGCGCGTGTGCGTAGGAATACATGCAGTTCCTACCTTACCTACTAGATGGCCCTATAAATGATGGTATCTGAGTAACAATGAGGAAACTGCAGTGTCTTGGTTTTGAAGATCAACCTGCAGTGAAAAGAAACAAAATTCCTTTGGCAGATGACTGGTCTTCCAGGCTGGGGCATGGAAAGAAAAAAAATGAACCTGGAACATTTTGTACCATAAACTAAGGGGGTTCTCAGAAAATCTCGAGGATGTATCTGAAGGACAGAAGAGCCAACATGATCTCCCACACTTTCAGCCTAGGGTAACTTGAGAAACAAAATAAATGATAGCAAAGGATTATAATCTATACAATAAGACTTTGTGGATCCATACTGATATAAATAAATGAAAAAAAATAAATGGAGAGAAGGGAAACTCCTCCTAATAAATGTTGATGATGGAATTAGAAAATCACTTGGCAACCTTCTTAGTAACTGTTTCAGACAAGAATCCTCAATGGCTGCCAAAAGTATGATGAAAAACAATATTTGTATAGCTGGATAAGTTTCTACACAGTATCAATTACAAAGGGAGCAGTAACTTTACAGTTTAGAAAATCTGGCAGATACCAGATACCACCTTACACACAAGATCAAAGTTCACCAATAATAGGACAAATTGATATTATGTACCCTCAATGTGATGTGATGCACTTAAAAAAGAAAAATGTGTCTTTGGTATTCTTGCCAAAATTGTATAATGTGAATGTAATTATGAAGAAACTTTAGTTAAATCTAGATGATAGGCCTATATTCCTCAAGAATGTTAAGGTCAAGAAAGATAGTAACTGAAGAACTATATGGATTAAAGGAAATAGAAGAGACGTGGTGGCTAAATGCAGCATGTGAGAATAGAGAGGATATGGCATTGCTTTTAATTGTAGCTCCAAAGGAGAAGTGGAAAGTGGAACAGAAAATACTTCAAGAGAAAATGACAGAAAATTTTCCATTGTTAATAAAAGCTATCTCATTAAGAAAATCAATTCCAGTTAGGGGAAACAAAACAAAACCAGACCTAGATACATCATAGTGAAACTGCAGAACATCAAAGACAAAGAGAAGAACTGAAAAAGCATTCAGACAGAAAAGTATGTTACCTTTAAAAGAATGACAATTAGACTTTCAGCTGACTTCTCAACAGTAGTGGAGGCCAGTGGGAATGTTAATTCTCATTGTATTAAAGCAAAGAAGTTGTCAACTTAAAATTTTTCATCAGTGAAATCTTTCAAGAACAAAGCTACTATCAATGAAACAGAATTGAAGGGAATTCTAAAAGATACATTTTAGAAGAATGATGCCTGAATTGGGGGAGGTGGGGTGGGACAGAGGTGGTGTGATGTATGAAGAAATAAAGTGCAAAGAAAATAGTAAATGTTTTGTATAAGTTAGTAATATAATCTGTTGGAATTAAAAAAGAGTTAAAGTACACAGTAATACTGGCCTAGAAATTGGATAGGGCATAATAACTATTTAAAGGTACTTATTTTAAGAAAAGGGTGAAGATATATATTAACTTATCAAGACTACTAAATGCTCATTTAAAGTGTATACTATCAGAGCAGAATGTAAGCTGTTTATAAGAGATAAGCTAAAACAAAATACAGAAGGGTTCAGAATTGATAGAATAAGATGGAAGGTAATATATTAAACTAACATTACAGAAAATTAGACTTTAAAACCAACAAGAGCATTTAGGTAATTTTGTACTGATAAAAGTTTCAGTTTATCAGGAAGATAAAGGAAATTTGAGGTTTTTATGTGGCTAAGGACATAGTATTAAATGAAGAAAAAAAAATTGAACTACAAGGAGAAATACACATATGCTTAGAAATATTTAGATATATTTCTAACCCATAGGTGAAAACAAATACAATGGAAACTATAAAATATTTTGAAGTAAATGATAACTAACATACTGCTAGTTAACTACAGCTAAGGATAAGAGGGAAAAGTATAGCTTTATGTTTTCTTTAATTTATTTCTTTTTGAGAGAGTGAAGTCAAGAATGTATGCAAGCAGGGAGAGTTGAGAAGGAGAGTTCTGTGTCAGGCTCTGCTATTGCAGACCCCTGAAATATATAACTTTAAATACATATGTTAGAGGTGGAAAAAGTTGAAAATTAATGAGCTAAGAATTCATCATAGGGGTGCCTGGATGATGGCTCAGTGAAGCATTTGACTCTTGATTTTGGCTCAAGTTGTGATCTCATGGTCCCTGAGATCAAGCCCCACTTGGGGCTCTGGTCTGATAGCTTGGAGCTTGCTTGGGATTCTTTCTTTCTCTTTGCCCTTCCACCACTCGCATGCATGTTCTTTCTCTCTCTCAAAATAAACTTAAATTCATCATATAAAAAATTAGTGGAAAATCCTGCATGATAAACCCAAAGAAAGTAAAAGGTAGCAAATAAAACTAACACAAATTTATAAAATTAAAATAACAAAGATCAAAACAGAAAAAGATTAAAAGTCATTCTTTGAAAGTTACTAAAATTGGCTAATTTCTCTTGACATGATTACAGAATCAATACTAGAAATTTAAAAAGCAACATGACTTCAGATTCTGCAGATATTTTTAAAGTTGAGCTTGTCATCAAATGTATACCCAATAACTTGAAAATGTTTATGAAATGGACAGATACTAGGAAAAAAGCTTACTAAAACTCATCAAAGGTTCAACAGCAGTATATCAGGTAAATGGCTTGTCATATAGTCATATATTGGAATACTTTGATGAGCTAGACCTATGCTTATTAATATGGATGCATCTCAGAAACACAATGTTGAGAAAAAGAGGCAAGTTATAAAGAATAGAATTAGGCCACTTAAGAATACAAACATGCATAAAAAAATGGTGATGGGAAGCCAAACAGTGTATGATTTAAGCTTATATGTCTATGTGGCAAAACTTATGAAAATTAGAGAATATTTATTATGAAGGTCAGGATAATTATTATCCTTGGATGGCAGAAGATGTGATGGTGGAACACGAAGGATCTTCCTAGAATGCTAATTATGTTCTAATAATTCTTAACCTGCATTTTTTTCTTCTTTAAGTTTTACATACATGTTTTTTCTCTTTTATGTGTATATATAATTATACAAATGGAGAAAAAAGCCCAAACCAAAGGTTATGTTCTTAATTTAATTGAATCGTATTACCTCTCTTTGTACAGTCATTTTGGAACTGGTTGAATAAACTACTTAAGACACTCTTTGACAAATCAAGTGACCAAAGACGACCTGTGCTTATAATCCAGCCCAGGGATCCATTAGGTTTTAGTTGGTGGATCATCACTCACGTAGCATCATTTTACCAGTTTGATCGCCATGGAACACCAGATGAAATGGTAAGATTTTATTCTTTAAACTTTCTCATATTTTTAATCAATATATATTTTTTGTAGACAGATTAGTAAACGAGCACAGAAACACAACAAAAAGCAAATCACAGGGACGCCTGGATGGCTCAGTTGGGTGTCCAGCTGCGGCCCAGGTCATAATCTCACAGCTTGTGAGTTCGAGCCCCTTGTCGGGGTCTGTGCTGACCGCTCACCCTGGAGTCTGCTTCGGAATCTGTGTGTCTTTCTTGCTCTGCACTTCCCTCGCTCATTCTCTCTGTCTGCCTCTCTCTCTCAAGAATGAATAAAACATTAAAAATTTTTTTTCAAAAAGTAGATCACAATCCTACAGAGATAAATTCAGCTTCTGAATCTAGAAGTTGGAGACCTTTCTGTAACCATCTTGAAAAATGATAATTTTATGTTTTTATTGTTAAGGAAGAGCACTTGTAGAAGACTTGAGATCTAGTTCTGGCTGTACTACTAAGTAGTTGTGTGACCTTCAGTAAATTACTTCAGCCTTTCTGAGACTTTGTTCCCTCATCCAGAAATCATGGGATTGGATTGTTCAGAAAATGCCTTCTAGTTCTAAAATCTGTAAAATTGCTGAAGGGAAAATATGTCTCCAGTAATGAATTAGTAGTTTCTGTGAATAATTAGGTAAAATTATTTTCTCGGAATAATACTTCTTTAGGGAAGCTTTTCATAAAGATATCTCCATCTATTAAACAACCATGAGGTTTACTTCAAATAGATTTTAATTATATTAATTTCTAGTTAGAAACATTTTTTACAGTGTTATTTAAAAAGCCCTATGAATAAAACTAGCTGGTAGACATATTTATTTGAAGCTCTATTTGTGTGTAATTATTCCATGTTCAGAAGTGATTAGTGTAGTAGTCTATCAGCCCATCAGTTCTATAAAACATCTGGAATCTTGACACCAATGTATCTGTATTTTCAAAATGTACCTTTTTCTGGGGGAGGAGGGATTGTTCCCAAATCTGGCTTATCATCAGACCTACTTGCACGTTTTTAAATATTTAGGTTTCCAGATCTCAACTGTAGAGATCCTGATTTAGTAATCTGGTTTGGAGTTTGGGAATTCTTATTTATAAAAAGTTTCTTGGTTCTCATCTTCTACCAGGTATGACGATCATTGCTTATGAAACCTGTCCCTTGACAGACTTCTTTTTGAATACTGAAGAGAGTCTGCTCGGAAATCACATATGGAATCTGTGGGTCAACTAGCATTGACAGTAACGTCATAGGAATGGAAAGGGCCTCAAAAGGTCTTCTAAATGATCTCCCTAATAATCAAAAGCTTTTCAGGAGATCCCAAGATAAATTAAAATACTAAATCGGAAAGTTCTCTGAGAAACTCACAAACAGCTTAATATTAATGTATTTAAGGATTCTAGCAATTTATTGAGAGGGATCAATGGAATGAGCATCCCAGAAAAGGACTATATGTCCTTTGTTTCTGTACATGAGTTCTTAACCATGCTGATGTATAGTAAATACTCAATAAATCTTAGCAGCTTGTCATGATTATTGAAGTAGGCCTTTCATGGAGTATTTTTGTGGAGTTAATATGTTAATGTTTCACATCTTTTAATCATTAGAATACTAGAACATTAAAATAACTCAAAAATTTTACCTATAATTCTAATGTCTTTACATTAGCATTTTATTTCTCTTCCCATTTTAATTCCCCCAGTACATATTTCTGGTTTTAATCAGTGTAAATAAATATGGTAATTAGTTAAAAGCACCTTTGAGTTCCCATTGAGGTGGTTATCATAATAGGTGCCAGTGATAGGATGTACATGAAACAGATTTACTGCCTCTTCAGGGAGCATTCTTTCAGGTTGTAAATGCTTGCTCGAACTGCCACTAACACTTAGGTGAGTGAATGGTGTATTTCAGTGGCGGTTGATATTGACCTACATGTACACCCACGTGTGGTGCATAATCCAGCCATGTTAATATATATCATTACTATTTCTGTTGTACTATTGAATTGTCCTGGCACAACCACCCATGGTTGCATTGCTTAAATCACTCTTCTGTTTCATACAGAGAACTCCATAGGAAATTAATGCTTTTATTAGCTCTGAATCAAGAGAGTAATTGAATTATCTGTATTTAAAATAGCTTAACCTATGTCTTTTAATATATCAGCAGTTCCTGTATGATTTCCTTTTGCCGAAGTACATATACTTTAAAAATCTTAATTTAAAGTATGTAGAAGATTTTAAGAGAAAAATGCCATGATATTTGAAAAAGAACCTTTCACATTATAAAATCATAGATATGTATATGTATGTATGTAAAATAGACTTTGCCTATAGTCATGAGTGCACAAAAAGCTTCAGATATTTCCAGACTTCTTAATAGCTTTTAAAAAGAACCTTAAGTTCGCTAGTTGATGCCAGTTTTTATTAGTGGTGATGCCTTCAGCATATTGTGTTTGCTAAGTGTTTTGTGTTTTTTAAAAATTTTATTTATTTACTTAGAGAAAGCATGAGTGGGGGAGGGGCAGAGAGAGAGGGAGAGAGAGGATCCCAAGCCGTCTCCACGCTCCACAAGAAGCCCAACACAGGGCTCAATCTCATGACCCTGAGATCATGACTGGAGCTGGGGAATCAAGAGTTGGACATTTAACAGCCTGAGCCACCCAGGTGCTCCACATTTGCTAAGTGTTTAATGTCTCACAGTGACTAAACAGCCTTTATATCTGTGAAGTAACATAAAGTAGGGGAGAAAGTAACATATACATTTTTTAGGTAACAAAACTGAGGTATTCTGTAGTTAAATGTCTGTCTTTAGCACTTAGATAAATTTGATATTGGGGTCCTCCTAAAGACTGCCTTCTCTTAGGAATAGACCTTGAGTATGGTAACCATGTGTACCAGTTTGTCATGGACAGTTTCCATTATGCTATTATCCCCTCATCCTATCTGGTTAATTTTCCCTTTTACTCTTAAGTATCTCAGTTTGGTTCAGAAGTCCTATAATCATTCTGATCTATGAATGTAAAGGCATATTGACTTATCCTTTCAGAGAGATTATAAAGGATATTACTTTGGATCTGGGATATATTTAGATCAGAATTTTGAAAATTATCTGAAAAGTTTTTTTCTTCCTCTGGTATAATATCACCGCCAGCTACCATATAGAAAGTGAGCATGCATTAATAAGCCTGCTTTATTCCACTCACAGGTAATCCGGGGTAATATGAAGTAATAACGGTTAGGCCTCCATTCTGCCACAGAGAATATCTCTAGTATTGTGTTAACCATAGAGATGTTTCAGTTTTTAAATGTGAACTGCTTTGCCCTGAAAGTTAGCATGAAATCTTTACATTTTATTTTTTTAATTAAAAACTTTTTTTTAGATTTTTCTTTTTTTTGAGAGAGAAAAAGTGCTAGTTGGGGAGGGGCAGAGAGAGAGGGAGACAGGATCCAAAGCAGGCTCCGCACTGACAGCAGAGAGCCCAACGTGGGGCTCATCCACAAGCTTGTGGGATTCACCCACAAGCTATGAGATCATGACTCACGCTGAAGTTGGACACCCAACCGACTGAGCCCCCCAGGCACCCTGAAATCTTTACATTTTATTTATTTATTTATTTTTTTAAAAATTTTTTTAATGTTTTATTTATTTCTAGGAGAGAGAGAGAGAGACAGCGTGAGCAGGGGAGGGTCACAGAGAGAGGGAGTCACAGACTGAAATAGTTTTCATGCTTTGAGCTTGCTGTCAGCACAGAGCCCGATGCGGGGCTCTAACCCACGAACTGCGAGATCATGACCTAAGCGAAAGTTGGACGCTCAACCGACTAAGCCACCCAGGCGCCTCTCTTTACATTTTAAATAGGTTTCACATATGCTTAATTTTTAAATTTTATTTTAAAAGCTTTTTTTGTGGATTAAACTTTTGCTAGGTGTGCATACTAGAGGCTTTAGGTTTTCATGTATTTCTATTTAATGTTTTTCTTTCAACTTAGATGAGAGTGTGTTATCTTCTCACAATTGCTGCCATCTATTTTAAAAGCAAATATAGTTTAAATAGAAGAAATATTTTGGGGCATTGCAGGGATCAGTTTAACAGTACTTTCCCTGCTCAGAACATAGTGCAATCAGTCAGGACAGCTGATGCTCATCTTTGAAACATCTGAAATGGTGACTAGATAAAAAGTCTGAAATATAACGTTAAAGTGAGAGTTGTACCAGGTTACCTTCTCTGCTGGAAGTAGAGGATAGGTTATCTATTATGTATTTGTGGTAAAGGCATGACCTGTCCTGAAGCTTAAATGGGTGTCTTAGTTTTGACGGTGGGATAAGAGATATAAAACATAACCCAAAATTGATGATTTTCTTTCTTTCTTTTTTCTAATGTTTGTTTATTTTAGAGAGAGCCAGAGAGAGCGGGGTACAGAGGATCTGAGGCAGGGTCTGTGCTGATAGCAGAGAGGCCAGTGTGGGGCTTGAACTCATGAACCGTGAGATCATGACCTGAGGTGCAGTCAGACACTTAATCAACTGAGCCACTCAGGAGCCCCCTATTTCCTTTTTGTTAGAGAGATCAAGTTTTGTATAATTTAGTTCAGTTTGCTGTGGAAAAAAATATATCCTTTGATACAGTCTCTTACTCAGACTTGATTTGGGCATGATGGAGTTGCCATTCTTTAATCTGAATTATGGTTTATTTTTGCTTTAGATTATGGCCACAGTACTGATCCACAGAGTTGAAATTCTTTGGACAAGAAGTACATTACTTACCTATAGTTTGTGTGATTCAAATGCCTTGATAGAACAGAATCATTGAAATATACTCATTAACACTATGAAATGATAAAGCTAAGTATAGTAGTTCTGTCATATTTCTCCTTATTTGGGGTTAGTAGTGATGTTTTCTTAGTCAAGAGTGATATAAAAGGTAATTGCTGAAAGGTGAGGAAGCCTTATTAGAAAATGGAAGGAATAGTGGCTTTGGAGCAAAATCCTTGCTCTGACTTGTATGTGTATATACATGATTTCTGAGACTAAATTGTGTTATCTGTGAAATGGAAACTTTTTTTTTTTTTTGAGGAAGTAGTAATGTAAGGATCTTAACACAGTGTACATATAGTATTATAAAACAAAATAGTCTCCTTTTTAAGAAAGTTTTAGGGCCAATTACCAAGGCTACTCTCATTTCTGGCACCAATTGCAAGTTAAAGAATTCCTAAAACCATATAATTTACTTAGACTTACAGGACTCTCTAAAGGCTATTATACTCATGGTTATCATTTATTACAGGGAAATAATGTAAATTAAAATTAGCTAAGAGAGGAGTATGTAGTACAGAGTCCAGGAGAAGTACCAAATGTGGAACTCCTATTATTTTCTCCCCATGTTGTCAAGAAACGTTAGTCTCCTGGCATCAGTGTGTGACAGTATACAGGGAGTATTTCCAACCAGGAAAGCTTGCCTAAGATGCAGGGTTCAGTTTTTCTTGGAGCTCCATTACATAGGTATGATGGATTGATTGCCCACATCGTTAATCTTCAGATCAACTTTCCAGGCCTCCATAGCCCTTAGCCTAAGTCACATCGTTGGTTTTGGGCCATGGCCAACCCTACCTTAAGGTGGCCAGCCTCTACCCTCAATTACATTATTAGACTATCCAGTATGACTCTAGGCCCCCTGGCAAACAAAGATATCCCTATCAGGTATAACACTCCAAGGGCCTAGAGATTCCTCCCCAGAAACCAAGGATAAAGGCCAGACTTTCTCTTTGGGTAAGGCCAAATTCTTTATTACACATTCTCTCTTCATAAAAGTTTTCCATTCACTTTATTTATATAAATGTATTTCGAAAAGTCTTTTTTTTTCCTAAAAATAACTGAGTCATTGTATCAGTTATCTCTTACTGTGGAGCAAAATTTGGCAGCTTAAAACAACAAACATTTATTATCTTTCACAGTTCCTAAGGCTCAGGTATATAGTAGGGGCTTAGCTGGATGGATCTGGCCCAGGATCCCTCATGAGGTTGTAGTAAACTATCAGCAGGTGCTTGAGTCTTTGAAGACTTTTCTGGAGCTGAAGGATTCACTTCCAGTCTTTCTCATGTTGGCAGAATGCTTTAGTTACTGATTACATAGGCCTCTTCAGACCTGTTCACACTGTGGTTTTCCTTGATGGAGTCAACAAGAAAGAGATTTTCATTAAGATGGAAGCTTCAGTGTGCCCTAACCTAATCTTTGAAGTGACATACCATCACTCCTATTGGTATTGATGCTCTGCTGATAACAGATCAACCCTGGCACAGTGTGCTGTGAAGTGGGGGTGGAGGATTAAATAAATGTATGAATACCAGGAGATGGGTCATTTGGGGCCATTTTAGAGGGTGGCTACCACAGTCATCTAGTACCTTTATTAAGGAAATGTTTTTTTAGTGATTTTATGTAATTAGCATCTTATAGCAACATTATCCAGTCATTTAAAATCCAGAATATTGCAAGGGTGTGTGGATGGCTCGGTCGGTTAAGTGTCTGACTTCGGCTCAGGTCATGATCTTGCAGTTTGTGAGTTCAAGCCCCATGCTGGGCTCTGTACTGACGGCTCAGAGCCTGGAACCTGCTTTGTATTCTGTGTCTCCTTCTCTCTCTACCGTTCCCTGACTTGCACTCTGTCTCTCAAAAATCAACAAACATTAAATTTTTTTAAATTGAGAATATTGCATATGCTTTAACCCTTTATGGGTCATTGGAGTTCATCCTTCTGAACAATATAATATGGGTGGTAGAGTATGATGACTCTCCTTGTTTCTATTCTTTAAGGCCTCTGGGTTTGCTTTTTGAGGGGTTACAGTTTCCTTTTGTACCTTTTTCACTTTCTGTCAGAAACTAGTTGTTACTTGTTTCCTCTCCAAGGCACTTTTTTTCTTCTGATTTTGATTAGTATACACATACCCAAAGCTTTAAGAACTGAGGCTTCCTCCAGGCTTTCCCCTTGGAAAGTGAAGCCTTTTTCAGTGCTTTTGTGAAGTATTTTGGCTTTGTGAAAGTCCTTTTTGGCTTTCTTCCTTATTGTGAGGAGTCATCCAGATAAGTGACCATTGATTAAATGAGGTAGCACTGTGTACATTTTTTTTCTATATAAAATGTTTAAATAATTGTTTAGTAGGATAGACTGTCTTGACATTATTATACCTAAAACAAAAAGAGTTTCTGGTGAGTAAAGTACACAATAAGGAAAAAACACTTAAGGCATAAAACACTCCAAAAACTACAGGAAGTTTTTTTTTTCCTGTTAGATTACATATGACAGCAAAAATTAAATATTTGTTAAAACATTTATAATTTTATAGAAGTGCCATTGTTTAAATAAAACAAGTCCTGTTAAAGTTTATATTGGATTGGAATAGTTACAATTTTTTTCTACCAAGTCTGTCAAGTAACTCTGTCCAAGTAATTTTAGACTCAAGAAGCTGTAATGATATCTGATGATAGAGAAGATATTTGTACTTAACAACTAACTTGCTATACTATAATTTGAATGCATAATTAAGAGCAATAATTTTGGTGCAATATTCTCCCTTTCTAGAGACAAATGGAATCAAATTGGAATTTTGTAGAAGAACTGCTAAAAAAGTCCATCAATGTTCAGGTATGCTTTCAAATGAGACAATTTGTGGGCTTTGCTGAATTTCTAATGTTACAGATTTCATTTATAAGAACTGAGCAAACTCTTAAAATGATTTAAATAAGAAACTTTGTTTACTTATTAAAAACCTGAGGTGGAGTCATCATTCTTTGTTAATGAAGGGACAACATAAGATAGTTCTGTGAATGGGTATCCTTTGAAGATTTTTATTTTAAACACTGAGTTCCCAGTTGAAGGACAAATAAAATTATCCTAGTTGGTGACTTTGACAAAATGTATTCGGGATAAGTAGTAGATGTTTCAGAACTATACACCATTCCTCGACTGTATGGTATCAAGTCTAGGAGACACGATGAGGGAGATAGTGGCATTGGAAATTCAGCTATATCCTCATCACAGCAGGAAGGTGACTTGCCTTGCTGAGCAATTTGTCTTACAGGCTTGAATCATACTCTAACTGATAAGGTCCTAGTTTCTGAGCCCTCATTTCATACGTTATCATTTTTCTTTCTGCAGAGCCGTTAATGTAGTGCTTCATGGCCCAGAGGTCAGATTTGACCTCCTTTTAAAATAGTTTTAAATGTGCTATTCATCACATCTTTAAACATACTGTATTGTAGTTCTCTAAAGTTTTGTAGTATAAATTATTTATGTAAGAATTTAAGGGAAAATTTTAGTAAAGAATATTTTTAAATTTTGCCAGTAGATTACTTTTCTGTTAGGATATAAAGATTGTTAAAGTCTTGAAGAGGAATAAACAAGAAATATGAAAGTACAAGATTGATATATATATCATATATGTACATACATACAAATTCATACTTACAAATGCACACACGTTTATTTTATAGCCATATCTTTAAAAATCACTTAAATAGCATCAAATTTTCTTTTCCCTTTTATCTGTATTAACTTTTAATTTTTTTAGGTAAGGCATAAAATAAGTACATTTAGTTTATACAATGAATCTTCCAATTAACAAGTAAAAATTCTAGACTAGAATTCCAAAGACCTGTGTATACATAGTTGCATGAGAAACAAAAGAACTATATAACCTCAAAGGTTGTAAAAGTTTTTATTTTTATTTTTGCTATGTCATTTTAATTGGCTTTCTCTGTCGTTCTTTTTGAAAACTTATTGATTTAGTAATTCAGAAAGTCTCTTATATACATTTTTTAATTCAGCAATATAGGGAATCACTAAAAAGTGCTCATTGTTAATTATGTTAGTTATTGATCCAGTCTTAATGCCTTAATATAGCTTTAGACCCTCTTAAACTTCCTTTTAGCTTTAACATTGTGTGAATTTATGGTTTTATTCAGGTAGGTTTTAAATTACAGAGTATTTCTTAGGCTCTAAGGGTCATATGGATAAATACCCATACACTCATAATGGCCTGGGACAAACAGGAGAAAAAATTTATCATTATCTCTGCTCCGTGGAGAAGTTTGCTTTTTGACTAAGATATTGAAAACCCTCCTCAAACCCTTTTTAGTTGCTTGAAAATTAATTCTTTTTTCTTTGGATTTATGACTCACTATAATTTTGATTTTGAATGAAGGAAACTCATTTACTTGGGAAAAAAAAAACTTTGGGATGTCTTACTCATAATGTAATAAAGTTATTTTGACACTGCAGAGTATATCTATATGGTATAACTAGTATTTTAATGGTGTTAGCTAAAGCTGTTTTGATGATAAATAAGTAGTTCTTGGAAGTAAGTAGTATGACCATCAGGATTTACCTTGCTTGTGGTTTCCCAGAATGTGGGACTTTCAGTGCTAAAACCAGGAAAGTCCTGGGCAACCTGTGAGAAGCCAGGCACCCTAGAAATAAAGATAGTCTAGTGAATCCAAGAACCTTTCTCTGGGAATTTAGATGTAACATAAAGTCAAAGTAATTTTTCCTGTGAGAGAAGTCATTATAATATTTAGAAAGAAGTAGTCCATTTTCTCTAGTGATCTTTCAATTTTGTCATGCCTTGATTGTATCAAATTAGATTTTATAAGTAATATAGTACTACTTGCTGGAGTTCTTGAAATCAATTTTGTGGGTGCAGTAGGTGGTCGTAAAAAACAAATAATATGTTTGGATAGAACTATCAGTTTGATTATATCTGTTTTCCCCCATTGAGGTAAATTAAAATCTGCCCATGCCCATGTGCTTTGACTTTATCTCCCAACAGTGAAAGAGTCCATTTGCAGTATTTAAAAAACATACATTCCTCATATAGAGCAGTCGTCAAGTATAATCGGTAGACATACCACTGTAGTTGTAATTAAGCAAATAATGTTCCACATCTTTTTGTAGCCAGAAAGGATTTTCTAGAAATAGACATTGAGCTTTGTTAGTAAAGAGAACGTTTATTGTTTGATTTTGCTTCTATTGGTATGATTTAATAGTTAAGTATTTACCTTAACTGTTTTTGTGGAGGCAGTACTATTTAATATTTGTGTATGCTGACAGTAAGCACTTATTCTACCTTTAAAACAGCATTATTGTTTTCATATGAAAAGGGAGATTTTTAGTTTATACTACCTGTTTTGTAAAGCCTCATTCTCTAACATCATAGAAACAGTTTTCTACTAAAAGTTGTGAAAGGGTATAAAAAGATCTAAAACAAGCCTAATATTCATATTTGCTAAGGAGTCTGAAGAGTCCAAGGCTAAAAACAACTCCGAATGTGATTAGATCTAAATGATATGGGACAACAAGCTTTTAACAACTAATTTATTTCTATTATTTATTCATTTATCTTAAAATTTTAAATGTTTATTTTTGAGAGCAAGAGAGAGAGAGAGAAGTGGAGGGGCAAAGAGAGAGACATACACATAATCTGAAGCAGGTTCTAGGCTCTGAGCTGTCAGCACAGAGACTGATGAGGGGCACAAGATCATGACCTGAGCTGAAGTCAGACACTTAATCAACTGAGCCACCTAGGTGCCCCTTAATAACTAATTTAAAATAATTATGTTTCTTGGACAGAAGCATCTTGACTGGGATACTGAATTTAACTTTCTTTATCTAATCCTAAAAATAAATCCAGTCAGGCAAACAGTTATTATTTAGGTTGCAAATAAATTTTATTCTTCTGATGACTTCTAGGTAAGCTATTCATAAAGAAATGAACCCTCAATTGTTAAATTACCATTTTTATAAAAAAAGCTAAAAGAATAAATTTTTTTTTTTACATTTATTTATTTTGAAAGAGAGAGAGAGGCTCAGAGAGAGAATCCCACTCCTAGTGTGGAGCCTCACATTGGGCTTGAATTCATAAACGGTGAGATCATGACCCACGCTGAAGCCTAGAGTCATGTTTAACCAACTGAGCCACCCAGGCATCCCAAGAGTAAATTTTTTTTTTAAATTCTAGTACAGTTAAAATAGTGTTATATTAGTTTTAGATGTACAGTATAGTGATTCAACAACTCCATATATTACTCCAGTGCTCATCATGATAAGTGTACTCTTAACTTATTTCACAGTCCCCCTCACTCACCTGCCTTCTGGTAACCAAGTGTTCTCTATAGTTAAAAGTCTGGTTTTTGATTTGTCTTTTTTTTCTCCTTGTTTTTTTTTTTTTTTTTTTTTTAATTTCATATATGAGTGAAATCATGTGGTATTTGTTTCTGACTGGCTTATTTTGCTTATCATTATATTCTCTAGCCCCATCCATGTCTTTGCAAATAGCAAGATTTCATTCTTCTTTTTTTGTGGTTGAGTAGTATTGCATTGTGTGTATGTTTGTGTGTGTGTGTATATCGTTGTCCATTCATCTATTGATGGACAGTTGGACTGCATACATAATTTGGCTATTGTAAATATTCTGCTATAAACATAGGGCTGCATATATCCTTTCATATAAGTATTTTCATATTCTTTGGGTAAATACCCAGTAGTGCAATTACTAGATCATATGGTGATTCTATTTTTAATTTTTTAAAGGAGCCTCCATTCTGTTTTCCAGAATGACTGCACCAGATTGCATTCCCACCAACAGCAGGAGAGGGTTCCTTATTCGCCATATTCTCACCAACACTTATTGTTGTTAGTGTTGTTGGTTTTAGCCATTCTGACATGTGTGAGGTGTACTTCATTGTAGTTCTGACTTACATTTCTCTAGTGACTAATAATATTGAGCATCTTTTCATGTATGCTGACCGTAAAAGAGAATTGTTTTCATTTTTAGTTCAGGAAAAGAATATCATGTATGGTATATACCCAAATAATATGCCTAAATTTGATTATTTCAAAATAAAGATGGGAAAAATTCTTTAAAAAAGGGCTAAAGCAGAGGGGCGCATGGTGGCACAGTCAGTTAAGCGTCCAACTTCAGCTCAGGTCATGATCTCATGGTTCGTGGGTTCGAGCCCCGTGCCAGGCTCTGTGCTAACAACTCAGAGCCTGGAGTCTGCTTCAGAGTCTGTCTCTCTCTCTCTCACCTAACCCCCTTTGTGTGCTCGATCACTCTTTCTTTCTCTCTCAGAAATAATAAATGATTTTTTTTTAAAAATTATAAAAAAAGGACTAAAGAGGGGCGCCTGGGTGGCTCAGTCGGTTAAGCGTCCGACTTCATCTCAGGTCATGATCTCACCAGTCACGGGTTCAAGCCCCACGTCGGGCTCTGTGCTGACAGCCAGCTCAGAGTCTGAAGCCTGCTTCAGATTCTGTGTCTCCCTGTCTCTCTGACCCTCCCCTGATTTATGCTGTCTCTCTCTCTCTCTCTCTCAGAAATAAATTAAAAAAAAAACATTTAAAAAGATTTAAAATAAAAAAAAAGACTAAAGAAGGCACTGTGGCATCAGGAGATCAGTTGCAGGCACTATGGAATATTGTGGGGTAGCATTCTCATTAAATTGTTTATGTATACTCACACAGCAGAGATGAGATATGCAGAGGATCCATAGGGTCTTGTGAAAATGTCAGGCTTAGTAGCATAGCCTCTGGGATTGAAACAGACAGGTGTAAGTCTATGTAGAAGAGAGGCCCATTTTATTAAAACTCTTCAGAGGGAATGGGTTTAGACATAGCTATGCAAACCTCTTGGTTTAGGTAGAGTTCTACCTTAGCACTCATAGAACTGAAATATATCAGTGTAACATATGATATTGAGAACCTGTGGCATTTATTATTTGATCATTGTTTGGCCTTAAAAAATACATCTCTCTTACAACACAGAGCCATCCCTATGCAAGCGCTCGCTGTACTTAGCACTTTAATGTACATTCTTCCACTTAGTGTTTATGGCAGGCCTGTGACGTTCCATTTTACACATTAAGAAACAAGGGCCTCATAGGGTTAAGGTGTCTGTCCATGTTCATTTAGGTAACTAAGAAGAGGCAAAGCTGGGATTTGAGTCTTCCTGTGTGTTTTATTCACAGTGTGCTCTCTCAAAGCATGTGACTTGGATTGTGAATAAAACTATTTTTGTCATTATTTCTATTTTAAAACTTCTTTGCTGTTATGTGTTTAATTAATCATTTTTGGTTACTAGATCTATTTTGATGATACTTGTGGAAAACATCTCAAATTTCCATATTTTTGTTTTTTTGTGTGGTGGTTGTGTTTTTCCTTTCCAGTAAGGGTGTGATGGGAAAATGTAAGGTAGGAAGAAATTAATATACACAGGAGTTCTCCAGTACTCCTTCTCACTGTATTTCAGCTTCTGTTTTCTCATTATGAATATAAGCTATCTCTTTGCTTCTCTTCTCCTATTTTGTATTCATATCTCTGATTATCTGGATGTGAAGATAGGCAGATCCTTTCTCCTTAATTCTGCTGATGTGTGCACACATTTTTGAAGGGAATTTTTATGAAAAAACCAAGGGAGGAGTGCCTGGGTGGCTCAAGTTAAGCATCCCATTAAGCATCCGACTTCAGGTCATAATCTCATGGTCTGTGGATTCGAGCCCCACATGGGCTCTGCTGACAGCTTGGAACCTGGAGCCTGCTTCAGATTCTGTGTTTCCCTCTCAGCCCCTCTCCTTATCTCTCATCTTTCTCTCAATAAACATTAAACATTAAACATTAAATAAGTAATAAACGTTAAAAAAGTAAATAAGTAAAAACTAAGGAAAAATAGCTCAAAACAAACAATAAATGAATATACAGAAAATGAAAATGTATTTTGCAACAAATACTAGCTATGATTAATTACAAACTAAACAAAACTTAATTTTTAAGTCCTTCTCAACTGACTGATAACCCATTCCTGCCAAAACGGTGGAGAAAATGGTATTTTCTAAGCCATTTCTTTTCATTATACTCTGTAGCCACTGTCAGGGAAAAAGAGGGAAATTTATCTCCTTTCCTTTAAAAAAATTTTAAAAATCTCTCAGAATATACCATATTTAATTTCTTCTTGATTGGAATAGTGGAAAGAACATGGGTTCTGGCCTCACAAACTTTGATTCAAATCTTGGTCTGATCACTAAGAGCAATCTTGATCAAATCTGGCATTCATTAAATACACATTTCTTTCCCCTTCTGTTTTTGGAAAGGGGCATAGAATGGTATGTATGATTGGCTTTGGAGTCATAAATCTTTGAAGTATATTGAAATTAGTATGCTTTAATTTATCTGAGTAGTATGCCACAGGAGTGAGCCTTGTTGTGTCTTAATATTTTCATAATAAAAGAAAGTTAGTGATGGACAGAAACTTCTCTTCTTTGGTTAAATGAGCTTAATTGTCTAATTGAGAAGCTAAGTATCGTTCCCTAAGCCATACAGCTACTTGGTAAAAAGAGGCACAAGAACCGAGATCTCAGTTTTATTCATGAAATATTTATTGAGTTTGTTTGGTGAACCAGACAGTGCGCTGGACCCTGAGGAAATTGTCCTAATTCTCAGAGAGCTCATAGACACTTGAAAGCAGATAAACATTAAATTTAACAAGGTATGTGCTATGATACAGGTGTGCGTAGGATGCTGTGGAACATAAAGAAGGGTCACTGTTAGTGTGGAGGTTAGTAAGTTTCCTTGAGGACTTGAAGCCTGAGTATATTCTAAAGGATTACTAATACAACTTAATATCTTACAAAAAAATTCAGCTCATGTTTGGTTCCCTTTATTCTTTGAATGTTTCAGCACTAAGATCACTTTTTTGAATACCTGTATTTTACTTTTATTAGTGGCCCCAACATTATTGCATGTAATTACCCTATGCTCTAAATTTCGTAATATCCTCACATCTACTCAGATTTCTCTTACTTATTACACCCACTTTCCATGGTTATGCTTTACATTTTTTCTTTTCATTTTCATTCTGCTCATCACTATTGGATCATTTCCATTTTCTGTCTTCCTCCACATCCAAACTTTTCTCTGTAGGCAATTTAGGTTATATATACCACCTTATTATAATCACAAACACCTTTAATTTTTAAATAATTGTGTTAAAAGTCATAATGAGTTATGTAATTTCTATTATCTGAGTATGTGAATGGTTTCTAAAGCACATTTTTGGAAGTATAGCCTATCCTCTGATTTAAATCTTCTGGTCTGAAGATGAGAGCAGGTGTGATTTGATGATATGTATCCATATTCTTTTTAAAAGCAGGTTATCCAGTGTATATCAAGCAATAATATTGATGTTGCCAGAGCCCATTTACTTTCCCACAATTTCAGTTTATTTTTTAGGATGGTATACCAGAAGAACAATTACGAATGCATCTACACTGTTGTTTGACACTTTGTGATTTCTGGGAGCCAAACATTGCAATTGTCACCATTCTATGGGAATATTATAGTAAGAACCTGGTGAGTAAATAAAATTTGAATGTGTTCCCGGAATTTGAAGAATTTGTACATATTTGGGGAATGTTTTTATGGTTTAATTATGAAGAGTTACAGATTTTTATTAAAAAGTTAATTTTTCAAAGTAGATTAGAGTAGGTCAAGAATAGTTTTATCTTTGGTAAACATTGTATAAGGGAATGAAATATTTATGTCTCTTTTCTCTTAAGAGTGAGAGTAAGCAAAATATCCAAAATTGTACCAGAGAGATATTTTAATCCTCATTTATAAATGTTTTCTAGCAATTACTGATTGCTTGCAACACACTGAACGGTCAGTGCTATCCTGAATAAGACATAGTCTTGGCATTTGAGTTGCTTACATGCTTGTGGGCATTGTGGGGAAGAAGTTACAGTACTGTGAAATGTCCAGGTACAGAGTATCTGACCCAGTGTATAGATTTGTGGAAGACATTATGAGGTCATAATTTTTTAACTGAAGAATGAGTGGAGTTTTTCAGGTATAGAAGACATGGAGTATTCAGGCAAAAGGAACATTATGAACACATAATGAATGTAGGAACACATAAAAAACTTGAACTTTTCCTACCTTGATAATAGTTTTGAATGATAGGTCTGGGATGACTATGGGGAGAGACAGCAGATAAGGAACATAAAGAGGATAGTCAGTGGCTAGATTATGTAGGGTTGAAGATAATATGTAGGTTATGATTTATTCCAGAGACAGAGGAACCCACAGATGTGACATATTAGGTTTTCTGAAAACGGTATAAATAAATTGGATGCTAAATTAGTAGTCCAATGTAATAATAAATGCTAATAATGCAGTGAGTAAGTAAAATAGGGACAATGGATTTAGAAAGGAGAGGATGTGCTTGGAAAATAAAATTATAAAGGTAGGTTTATAGATTTAGTTACCTGTTATGTGTGGAAAGGAGAGAATATTTGGAGTATTTGAGTTCCTTAGTAGATAATGAACCCTTCAGTCAAGATAGAAAATGGAAATGGGAGATTTGCAAGTATGTTACTAGTTTGGGCTTATATATAATGGAGCATATTAAAAAAGAAAAACACCTTTCTCTGAAGCATAATTTCAGCCCGATTAGAAAAATGACCATTCTAGTTCTGAGACAACATGTGTATAAGATGAATCTACACTGTCTTGTCATATCTGAAAGCTGGGAAATAACAAAGTTAAGATGGAGTCATGTCAAAAGAATCTCATTATTCTGAAAACTGTAAATGAGAATATAAACTGTATTTAAGAATAACCCAATTTCTAATAAGCTAATTGAGAAGTAATGATAGAATTAGAAAATCACTATTTTGTACATCTGATGAAGTAAGACATCTGGGCAGTGATCATCTGGGGCTGCTAAAATTGTTCAGTGAGAGTCTTGGGGATCACTCACATTAATAGATCAGGTTGATAAGACCCTCAATCTTAATATCACAAAAGGAATTACAAAACTTAATGTGCCTCTTTCCTAACTGCAACAGGTAGTGCCCGGTACTACCAATGGAAGATTCTTATCAAAAAACTCAACTTGCATGAATCTGATCAGTTCACTAGATACAGCTACCAATTTTCAGAAAAGATAGAGGATAAAAGAATACATTACCTGACGCTAGGGAGATACAAGCAGCTAAATCCAGATTGGAGAAAATTCTACACAATAAATGACCTGATATAAAAATAAACGGTATGACAAACTATGGGAAACTTGTAGAAGAGATTAAAGAAGCAAAGCAACCAAATGCAATGGATGGATCTTATTTGTATCCTTATTTGGGCAGACCAACTGTTAAAAAGACATTTTGGAGATGTTTCAGGAACTTGAACACCGCTTGGTGTCTTTGCTTTTGAGGAATTTTTATTTTAGCAGGATATGTAGTAAGTAATGTCTGTAACTTAGGTGATCAAGGAGAGTCCAACTTTAATGAGCTAGTTGGGATTTCCATTTTTATTTACTTGGAGTTAATACTTCTTTTTTTATTTTTTATTTTTTTGCTTTTAGAATAGTTCTTTCAGCATTTCTTGGCTTCCTTTGAAAGGCCTTACACATATCATTAAGTCACCCTTGTCTATGCTAGAAATGGTGAAGACCTGCTGTTGTGATAAACAAGATCATGACCTGTATAAATCCAGCAGTAGTTATACCATTTTCCTTTGCATTTTGGCAAAAGTTGTTAAAAAAGCAATGAAGAACAATGGCCCTCATCCTTGGAAACAAGTCAAAGGAAGGTATGTGCCATATATTTTTTTGTCAAGAATGTTCACTCTAAAGAAGTGTTTCTGTTTGTATTTTTTAAGTTAACTTGTGTTTGGAAGTCTTTATGGTTTATACATTTAAAATGTACTCTCTAGTGTGTGCAGGACAACAAAACATGCATCCTTTTGGTCTTGCCAGTTTATTACAGTAAGGCACAAAGCTAGTGTTCTATAACTTGGGGAGGAGTTTAGTTTATCTCATCTGTCCTAAAGGTTGAAATTCTGTATATTAAATATATTAGAGAACTGTTGTTTTCCTTGCCAAAATTAATTGTAATGTTATTATAGAATTCAGTGCATAAATTTTATTCAAACTTACAGAAATAGAAAACATCTCCAAATCATTCACTGGCAAGTAATAGACTCAATCTGTTAAACTCTGTGTTCTTTAGTGCCATTAGCCCTGCTTCCTTGAATGAAAACTAACCAGAAGATAAAACCAAATAACTCGAATGTTCTCATTTGGGAAGTATGCCCAATTTTCATTTCTGCTGTGGTAAAATAAACTTTCGGTCATATTTGTCCGTTCTTTTCTTTTTTCTTTTCTTTCTTTTTTTTTTTTTTTTTTGAATTTTGCATGTTAAATGATACGAGTATTAATTGTCTTTTCCTTTGTTCTACTTCCTTTATCTATTAGCCCTTTTCCTAGCCCTCTTTGTACAATACACTGCCCCCTACCACTTGCTCAGCTTATATAATGTGAGCTCTTGCAACAGAGGAAGAATACCTTCATGTTCTAGGTAGGGACATGTCAGGAACCACTAAATGAAATTCCTGTTTGCTTCCCACATACTGCTTGCAAGATGATGGTGATACAGTAGAATTTTTTTTAGTGTATACTTTCTAAATGATAGCTTTTTTGTTAAACCTCCAAAAAATTATGTAGCTCGAACAGTAGCTTTTTTTTTTCATTATTTTGTTTGCCAGTTTATCTTTGAGTCATAATTATTTTGGGGAAGACATTATACTCAGAACTTTTATCTGAAACAAATATTTGGAATTTATTCAGTAACAGTTCTGTTATTCCTATCCTAATCCCTTAATTGATGAAGTAATTCCTTACTTTGACTAGTAAATTATATTATCACAAGAGATTTTTAAATGGCTAATCTTGCACATTTAAACATTAACCATTTTACTTTATGAATAAGTAAAAGTAATTTTTCCAGCACGTTGAATTGTCTTAGGTATAGTTATAGCAAGAGTAGGCCTCTGTGAGGGGTAGAGGGTGAAGGAGTTTAAGGAAAATTGTTATAAAATTGCCCCATTAAAAGTTCTTTAAAGCAATCAAATTGTACTTAAAGGGGTATATATTTGGGGTGCCTGGGTGGCTCAGTCAGTTAAGTGCCAATCTCTTGGTTTCAGCTCAGGTCATGATCTCATGGCTCATAGATTTGAGTCCCATGTCAGGCAGTGCACTCCTGACACAAAGCCTGCTTGGGATTCTCTCTCTTTCTCTCTCTCAAAATAAACAAATAAACTTAAAAAAAAAAAAGGGGGGGGTATATATTCTTTTTTATATGTTAATAAAAATTAAAAAAGAAAAGTGATTTAGAGTACTAAAATAACAGGGAAAGCCATGTACTATATGAAAAGAACTTGTACTGTCCTTTGGGGAAGACCACCGAATTCTTTTATTCACTCGTAGAGGATTGCTGCTTCACTGAGAAATTTGAAGGTTATGGGTATTCTGTGAGTGTTTTCGGAGTAGAAAAAGTGACAATGGCAGCATCATTATGAAGAATTAAATTTAAAGTAATGAGACTGTCATGAGTATTGATTGAACTGTTATTTAAAAAGGTGGATATTTGTAAATGAAAACAATTTTTAAGTATTTTTTTTTTTTTATGTTTTGCAGGATATATTCTAAATTCCATCAAAAAAGAATGGAAGAATTAACTGAAGTTGGTCTTCAGAACTTTTTCAACCTTTTTCTACTATTAGCAGCTGTCACAGAGGTGGAAGATGTAGCAAGTCATGTGTTAGGCCTCCTGAATTTCCTCAAGCCTTCTTTTATAACGTCTCCCCTCATTTGGAAGGGTCAAGTGGCCTTCCTCTTAATGTATACCCAGAAAAATCTGGACATTGATGTTTTGGCTGAGAAACTTTCAGGTACTTTCCGAGAGAAAGCAAAAGAATTCTTGGTATCTAAGAATGATGAAATGGGACAAAGACAGACTCTCTGGACACTTATTTCTATCTATATTGATGGTGTTCAAGAAGTGTTTGAGACTAGCCATTGCTTGCATCCTTCCCATGAAAAACTGCTTAATGATGGATTTAGTATGCTTCTACGAGCTTGTCAAGAATCTGAACTTAGGACGGTGTTGAGCTTTCTACAAGCTGTTCTGGCCAGAATCAGGTACGTTTTCCATTACATATTCTAATTTCTTAAATTTATTGTATGTCATCACCTATGTTGATTCTATATTAAAATTTTCTTTTTGATATATTCCTGGAATCCAAATGGAGAGAGAAGAGTTGGTTTTACTTCTATGTTGGCATAAATCAGTAGTTTCCAAACTGTTATTTTGAAAAGCAATTCTTTAAAAAGAAAACTTATGTGCAAACACATAAAACTAAACTCAGAGCAGCTCTGGTGCAGTCCCAGAACTATGCTTCTTTGCTCCTCCTTCCCTTTAAAAAAATTTTTTTTTTACCTTTGCTAAAAGAATAGTATTATCAAGAGGAATGTTTTAGATTGTTTAAGCAAGATCATGAGCTCAATTCTTTTTTTTTTTTTTTTTTTTTTACAAATAGTTTATTGTCAAATTAGTTTTTACATAACACTCAGTGCTCTTCCCCAAAGTGCCCTCCTTCATGCCCATCAACT